TCTGAAGATCTAGGTTTCAAAACAGCATAGATCAAGATAACAGTTTTCATCAGAACTGAATTAAATTTAGTGAATTTTCACTACTGATCTTATTAATTAGACACTAGATAACAGATACTTACAAATATATTTTGGACATATATTGTAATCAACCTGGCGTTCATATTTGGCTCATGCTCACTGTACAGGCTACAAACAATGATTTGTACATGCAATCAAAGCTGTTGGTGGGTGTATGTCACTATGATTTGCAAGGCCATCTTAATAAAAGTTAAATCTAAGCTATACTATATAGTTATGTATTAGACTTTGTGATTTTTCCCTCATAGATTCTCAAACTAGATTACAGATATATATATATATATATAATATTTTATAGCCAATATTAATAGAATTTGGTGAATTGTCGCCACTGATCTGATTATTTTCCCCCATTGCATACTGGATTATATTTTCTATTAAAAGTAATATTTTCTAATATATTTTATCTACCCTAGACTAAATTAAACAGCTCACTCTGTGAATATATATGTCTCCCTGAACGTTCATAAAAACAATATTTTACAGTAAAAACCTTTCAACCATCACCTGATGGGGATAATAAAAGCTGGAATTTGATTGGATCAATATATTGATAGTACGCTCATTTTGATTGGATGTAAATTATTTAAATTTATTGTCGTTGTTGGCGATGATAAAAATTCATTTTCACAAAACATGCGATAGTAACATAAATTTTACAGTCTACATAGAAATTTTTACTCACAGCTTATCAAATTTTTACAGTCAAGATAAAATCTTTAATTTTCTTGGGAATTGCGTCTATATAATATTTTTACTTTATAAAATTACAAAAAAATTAACATTTTAATGAAATGTCCTTGTTACCAAGTTTATTTCATTTCAATTTATTACAATAAAATTATTTACAGAAGTTGAAAGAAAAACATCATAAAAAATCTCATCAAAAAGTATCAAGGCAAGGAGATAGGATAATATGTTGAGGACCTGTTTACTACAGGTTGTATTTATTGAAG